GGCGCGGCAGCAGCACCGACACGTCGAGGTTGAGCTCAAGCTGCCGCGGAGTTGAAATCTGGTACTTGGCCAACGCTTGGAATACCAGGATGGTGGCCTGCAGGGACACCTGTGTCACCAGGGCTTGGGGACACCATCTGGAGCATCCCCAAAGCCCCCTGGGTGGCCCTGAGCCCAGGGTGACCCCAAGTCCTGGGGCCACCTGATATCACCTGGAACATACCCTTGGGTGTCTTACGGAGCAGAGATGTCTCCCAGGGACAGGACATGTCCCTGAGGGTCCCCAGGGTCTGGAGGTGTCCCCAGGGGCTAGGGCGTCCCCCAGGGACAGGCCTTTTGGGTTTTCCAAAGCCCTTGAGATCCCGTGGGACCAGGGGTGTTCCCCAAGGACATGCCATGTCCCTGGGGGTCCCAAGGGCCCTGAGGTGACCCCCAAACCCTGAGGGGTCCCCCAACGCCTTTGGGGTCCCATGGGACCAGAGGCGTCCCTCATGAGACAAGCCATGTCCCTGAAGTCCCCAGGGCCACAAGGTGACCCCTCAACAAAGCCCTCAAAACCCCTATCCCTGTCCTCCTTCCCCATGGCAGTGGGTGCCAGGACAGCACCCATGGGTGCCAAGGGAGTCCGTAGCCCACCTGAGTGGATCCGTAGCCACCACCGAAGTAGTTCTGCTGGGCAAGCCAGCGGGCCACCACCTGCGTCATCTCCGGCTTCTCCATTTGCAGCAAGGCCAGCAACGCGTAGGACGTCCCCTCGATGTTGTAGGTATGGGCGTTGCGTTCCTCCCAGCGTTTGCCCTCTGGGGTGACATCGGTCCCTCAGCACCCTCTAGGGACGATTTCTCCCACCACCAGGTAACCCATAATTAGCTTCCCCCCCGCCTCGCCCAGTTTTCTCCCCCCCCTGGTGAGACGTCACCTTTGGAAAACTTCATGAGAACTTTCTCGCTTTTGAGTTTCCCCGTCAGAGCCAAGGCGTAGGAGGTCAGGGCCACCGTGTAGGGTCGGGCCAGCAACTGGTACCTCCGGGCAAGGTATTCGGAGGCTTTGGCAATGCTCCCGTCCAAGCTCTGGGCAGAAAGGATGATAGGTTTAGATTCTCAGGTGGCTGCTACAAGGGTTGGGCACCTCGTCTTGAAGCGCTGTCCTATGTGACAGGCGCCAGTTGTGCCCCCTCTCCCATGTGGGGTTGAGGACTGGGCCACTCACGTTGACATGGTCCTTGCAGACCTCCCGGGCCTCCTGCAGCGCGATGAGGACAAAGGCTGTCAGTGATACCTCGGGCTCGGCACCCTGGTAGCCTCCCTGCATGACAAAATGGAGGGAAAAAACCTCAGGATCGTGGTTTTTCACAGCAAGCTCTCTCCACCCGAGACTTGTCCCTGTCACCCAACATAGTACTTTCCCCACAGCTCATTCCAAAAGCTCATCCTTAAGCCAACAGGGCTTTGGCCACCAGCAGGGACAGGGTTTGGATCCCCCCATACCACCATCTCCTTATGGATGACAGGAGCATCTTCTTGGAAAATCCCGTCTGGCTTCTGCTTCTCCAGGATGAGCCATTTCACGGCACCACAAACCACCTCGGGCTCAATGTCTACCAGCTTGATGGCCATGGCAAAGACTTTGGCCACGTAGGCTGTCAACCTGGGGACAGGAGGACCTTAGCGTCATGTCCAACCCTGTCACCCAGACCCACGTGGTGGTGGCAACATGACCCTCACCAGGTGCTTGATGGGCGGTCCTTGAAGGCGGCATAGGAGCTGTCAGGTTTCCGGAAAGCAAGTTGTTGCGTGTAACCTGGTGAGGAGATGGTGGTTGGCCAACACAAGGAGCACCCGGGGGTGGCTTCAGGCCACAAATGCCCTCCAGCCGTTGGCCAACGCAAGGAGCACCCAGCCAAGCTTCAGGCTACCAACCCACTCCAGTGCAAACCAGCAGCTCTAGAAATCCCCAAACTGGTAGCACCCAACCCATGTCTTCTTCAAAGGTGCAGGTTTCTTCAGCACCCTTGGAAGATGGTGACATTTTGCACCCCAAGAGGGGTGCAACCAGGGGATGCTCCCATCTTTTGGGGGATGCTCCTACCCTTTTTAATCAAGTTGATGGCCTCAGTGCGGCGGTCAACACCAAGGCTTTCCCACTGCAACGTGCTGTCCAGGTAGTAGGTGGCAATGACAGTGGGCGTCATCCCAATCATGTTCTGCTCCCCGCATCCTGATGGTGTCGTGATGAGATGCTTCAGCTTGTCCCCGTCAATGGCTTTCTCCACCATGATGGACACAGGGTTGCCTGGACCAGAAGAAGGGGAGACGTCAAGCCAGGAGTGTCCCCGCCCTCCCCACGTGTGTCCCTTCCCCTGCTCTCACCTTGGATGCTGACTTTGGTCTCTGACTCAGTGTTGGGGACAATGTCAGAGAGGTTTGCTGCCCTCACCTTCTCTTCCTGTACACCATCTGTGGGGCAGGGAGGCCAGGATGGAGATGGGTGACCCCAAATCCTTCATGTCCCCCCCCACCCTGAGGTGACCCAGCCCTGCCCCACATCTGCAGCAGGATGTCCCTTGTCCCTCGGGATGTTCCAGAGCCATACCAGGATGTCCCTTCTCCCTTGAGATGCCCCAGCTCCATAGTAGGATGTCCCTTGTCCCCAGGGATGCCCCAGACCCACAGCAGGACATCCCTCATTCCCTGAGATGCCCCAGCTCCACACGGGGATGTCCCTCGTCCCACAAGATGCCCCAGTCCTTGGTGGTACATCCTTCATCCCCCAAGATGTCCCAGACCCACAGTGGGACTTCCCTTGTCTCCTGAGATGCCCCAGACCCTTCCCTCAGTGGGACATCCCCGTGGGGCTGAGACATCCCCAAGACCAGCCAGGGCCACTCACTGATTCCCTTCGTCTTCGGGTCCAGCTCAACTATCGTCACAGTCTTCTCCAACCTCATCCCTTCAGGCTGCAGAGGTGAAAGTCCAGTGCTAAAGGTTAGGCTGGTTTTGGGTCCCCCCCTTCCCAACCTCTCTGGGTTGTCCAGGAAAGGTGTCCCAGTGTAAACCAGCACCCCCAGGTCATGGGACAAACTGGGAGAGCCCCAGGAGACCACACCTGAGCATCCTGGGGGGGGACGATCCTTCATCCCTGGCTACCACCACCAGGATGAAAGTGGAGACAGGGATATCACAGGGATACCATGCTGGGGACATCTCAGGGATGGAGGTGGCACCATGTGGTGGAGATGCCATGAGCAGCAATGGCCACTCACCACAACTTTGAGCTTCTTCTTGACACCGTCAGACACGAGCTTGCCCCGGACGGCTGCCTTCACCTCGATGTCATGCAGCCCCAGCTGCAAGGGCACGATGACGAAGGGCACGGCCCACGATGACTGGGCTTTCAGGCGGAGGATCTGCTGGTAGCGCGTCTTGGAGGTGGAGGCGCTGCACAGGGCTGGGTTGTACATCAGCTCCACGCGCACCTGCAGGGCACAGAGATGTTGGTCATGGGGTTCAGGTGGCTACAGACCCCCCAGAAGCCCGGGCGTGGTTCCCCTGCCAACCGTGATTTCCTGCGTCCAGTAGTTGTAGAGGATGGCACGGATCTCCACCTGCTCGTTCCTCACCACGGAGTAGGGCAGGCGCAGGTCGATGAAGAACTCCTTCATCACCGTGATCTCATAGGGGTCAGCCACGCACAGCCCTGTGGGGTGGCCCCCAGGGACATGGGGGTTCAGACTTAGGAGCTTGCTGGGCCCCTCATGTCCCAGTGACATCCACAAGGCTTTCGGAGGTCCTCCAAGTCCCATGGAGTCCTCCCAAGGCTTAGGAGATCTCTCAAGTCCCAAGGACTGCCACTAAGCTTTGGGGGATCTCCCCAAAGTTTGGGGCATATCTCCAGTGGTATGCACCCCTCTAAGATTTTGGAGATCCCTTAAAACCCAAGGAAACCCGCCAGGCTTTAGGGGACCCTTCAAGTCCCAGGGACCACCCCCAAGGTTTGGGGGATTCCTTTGATCCCCAGGGACACCTTCCTACTCCACCACGTACCCTTGGTCTGTGAGAGGCTGACGGCCAGGACCTCCCACGTGGTGATGGAGTCCTTCAGGTACACAGGCAGAGTCTTTGTGGAGATTCTGGAGAGGATGAGAACGACCAAGGGGGTCATAACTGGCCCCAAGCCAAGCTAGGGAGGTGTAACCAGCCACCAAACTGGAGTTGGGGGGGGGCATAGCTGGTCCCCAAACTAGACCAGGGGGTTGTAGATGGCCCCTGAGTTGGACCAAGGTGTCATAGCTGGTCCTGAGGCAGCACCAGGGGGTCAAAGGTGGCCCTTGTCTGGACTTGGGGAGGATCACAGCCGGTCTCCAGACTGGGCAAGGCAGTGTCCAGAGCTGGACAGGGAGGAGGTAATGATCCCCAAGTTGAGCCATGGGGTGGAGGGGTAGTGGGACAAGGGCACAGGGCTCACCCCAGCTCATTGGGCTGCTCTGTCAGCGGCTCCACCCGCCACAGCCAGCTCTCCGGGAAGAGGGTCCGTGAGGTGATGTCCTCGTCAGGCAGGAAGACTTCGTTCTCCTCACCTGGGGATGGCAGCGTCCTTCTTGACCATAGCTTCAGGGGCCCAACCCCTGTGTGGAGCCGGAAGCACTCCAGCATCATCCAAGCACCACCCGTGTTTTGCCCAAGCATCGTCTAGGCATCACCCAACTTCCCCCCAAGCATTGCCCAAAAGTCATCCAAGCATCGCCCAAGGATAGCACAAGCAACGCCCGAGGTTCATCTGACCTTCACCCAAGCCTCACTTAAGCTTCACTTAAGCTTCGCCCAACCACCAAGCCCGTCATTACCCCACCATTGCCCAGCACTTGCTTCGAGCCAGCTCGAGGTGGAGCTCGCGCTGCTTCTGGTCGTGGATGCCCTTGATGTAGTTGCAGCAGTCGAGGAAAGCCCGGATGCAGGCTTCTCCGTCCTGGATGTAGTTGGTCCGATGCTCGCAGCTGTGGCTCATGGGGTTTTCCTTCATGCCGTCCTCACAACACTTGCGCAGCGTCTTGTCCGTGTACTCAGCCGCTGCCAGCACGAAGGCACCCAACTGGCACCCAGTCCCAGAGTCCCTGGCCTGAGGGCCATCAGGGACATGGGACACTCTGGTGTCCTTTGGGATATGGGATGCTGTGGTATCACCAGGGATATGGGACACGGGACACTGACGTCCCTCAGGGACGTGGGACACTGGTATTGACTGGGACATGGGATGCTCTGGTGTCCCTCAGGGACCTGGGATGCTTTGGCATCTTCAGGGACGTGGGACAATCTGGTGTCCCTAGGGGCACAGGACATTCCAGTGCTCTTGGGGACATGGGACACTCCCAGTGCCACCTACCTTTGCTGCCTTTGTACTCGATGAGCTGCAGGGAGCGGCGCTTGCGTTTCGCAGGCTGGGGACACAGGACCTCTGGGGACAGAGAGGACACAGGTTAGGACCCCACAGCATCACAGCCCCCAACCCAGGTGTCACTCCCCTTGACATCAGTTGTCAGATCCCAAAGGTCACGGGACACATCCCCCATCCCTGAGGTGTCACACTCCCCCATTCTTGAAGTGCCACATCCCCATCCCCAAGGTGTCATCTACCCCATCCCCAAGGTGCCACCCCAGGTTGTCCCAGTCCCCAGCATGTCCCCTACCCCCTCGCTGTGGCGTGGCGATGTTCACGTTGGTGACCAGGCTGAGGCCAGCATCAGCAAAGACACCCACGTTGTCCCTCCCACTGCCCGGGGTGCAGCCGATGTCACTCTTCTCCACCGTGTCCCAAACCTGCGACCAACAGGAGACAGCCATGACAGCCACTGCCACCACCCGGGGACAGTGGGGACGGGGACCCGGCCACCCACCTTGGACTGGGTGAGCTTGTTCTTCTTGTTGAGGACGAAGACGCCCTTGTCCACAGCCACCAACCCCACGTGGGCATTGTGGTCACCCTCAATGTGCAGCCGCATGGGTGTCCCCGGTTCGTGCACCCGGTTGTCAGCCTCCGTCGCTCCCTTCACCACCAGCTGCCAGGGACGTGGAGGGGGGAGTCATGTCCACGGGATGCCCCAAAAAAAACCTTCACCACACCCCCAGGAGCTGCCCCATGGAGGTACCCCAACCCCACAGGGTGTTGGAGTCCTCCAGGGGTAGCTGATGGTTGTGTCCTCCACCGTGGAACGTCTGGACCATCAATGGGCCACCTGGGCCACCCAAGGCCCCCCACGAGATGCCCAAGCCCCTCATGGACTATCCCACCCAAGTGACACCCAATCCCCATTATGGGCCACCCAAGCCCTTCAAAGACCACCCAAGCCCTTCCAAGGGCCCTCCAAGTCCCTCAAGGGCCACCTCAAGCGTCACTCAAGCCACCTCCAAGGCCCAGCCAATGGCCACCAGCGCCCCCCCCAGCCACTGGGACAGTGGGGACACACTCACGGTGCCCATGCAAGTGTCCTTGACATCAACCCAGACGGAGTCGGCGACAATCTCGCCGGGCATCACGTAGTAGTAGGCTACGATGCGGAAGGAGGGGATGAGCTCGGCCGTCACTGGCAGCGACATGGTGACCAGGCTCTGGCCAGCCTCGTGCCGCTGTCGCCCCACATGGATGATGCGTCCCTTGCTCATGATCTGTAGCAGGCAAGGAAAGGCAGGGTTGGTGGGCACCTGGACACCTAGGTCCCCAAGATGGGGGGCAGTTGGTTGGCAGAGGCCAAGCGCGCTCACCAGGTAGGTGAAGTACGGGACGGAGTCACGGACGGCGTTGCTGTTGCTCTTGAGGTGGAAGTTCACGGCGAGGTTGTCACCAGTCTGCAGCTCAGTGGCCCCCACGGCCAGGTGGAGGAAGTTGCCGGAACCACCCTGGCTGCGGTAAGCTTCGGCAGTCATCTGCCGTGAGGCCTGGCGGTCGGCAGGCAGCCCCGGCTGGTCCGTCCGCACCTGCAACACAGAGGACACAGCGGCACTTGGTCAACAGGGAGAGGCGTAGACCTGGGTGGGGGTCAGCATGGAGGTCTTGGCCACCGTAGAGGTTTTGGCTGTCCTGGTCTCCCTGACCCCTGCTGCCCTGGTCCTTGGTCAATGGTGATCATCTCTTTGGTCAACCTGATCATCTCTGCTACCCTGGATGTCTTGGCCACTCTAGTCGACTCAACCACCTTGGTCCCCCTGACATTGGCCCTCCTGGCCCTTGGCTACCCTGAACATCTTGGCCACTCCTGTCCCCCTGACCTTGGCCATCCCAGTTCTTGGTCACTGGTGAACCACGCTGACCTTGGCTGCAGGCCACCATGGACAACTTGGCCACTACGGACATCTCCGCCAGTCTCCTTGACACTGGCCATCCTGGTCCTTGATAACCCTAGATGTCTTGGTCAACCCAATTGTGTTGGCCACCATGGTCCCCCTGACACCAGCCATCCTGCTCCTTGGTCAACAGTGACCGGGATAGCCCTGGTCCTTGGTCACTCTGGACATCTTGATCACCACAGACATCTCAGCCATGCTGGTCCCCCAGACCTTGGCCATCCTGGTCCTTGGTCAATGGTGACCGGGGTGGCCCTGACCCTTGGCCACCAGGGATGTCTAGGTCATCCTGGTCCCCCGATCCTGCTGTCCTGGCCCTTGGTCAATGGTGACCATGCTGGCCATCATCTTTGGTCACCCTGGACATCTCAGCCATGTTGGTTGTCTCAGCAATCCCAACCCCCAGGTCACTTCAACCACCCCTGTCCCCAGCCACCTTGGCCACCCCAGTTCCAAGGCCACCCCGGTACCTATCCCCGCTCACAGTGATGGGGACGGTGTCCCTGTTGGCCGGCATGTTGAGGACCAGCTTGGCTGTGCCATCACGCTGGGTGGAGACGAGACCCTGGAAGCCATCAGCCTTGACGGTGACACGCGGAGCCGGGGACTCATCTGGGTTAGTGACGTAGACCTGCAGGGGATGCGGTGTGACATGAGGACATTATATGGGGACATGGCATGAGGGACATGTCACATGGTGCCATCCAGGTGACACAAGGACAGACCACGGTCCCCAGGCCCTCTCCAGGTGACACAGTGATATGACATGGGGACAGACCCTGGTCCCCAAGTCTCCTCCACCCACAAACCGCCAGGCTTGCCCCATCCCCATCCCGATGCTGGGGACCCTGGTACCGTGGGGGTCCTGGGTCAATGCCACCGCTGTCCCCATCCCTGTCCCCAGATGCCATTACCATCAGATCGAAGGGCATCCCCGGCTTGAAGAACTTGGGGGTGCGGGTGAAGTGGATGGTGTATGGGGACGTCACGATGCGGATGCCGCTGCGCTGTGCCTCCACCATGTCACTGCCTGCAGTGGCCACAGGAATGGCCATGTCATCCGGTGCCAGGACAGGACTCCCGGTCCCCCCCAGGGACAGCCCTGTCTGACCTTGGGTGGCCCTAGTTGTCCCCATCCTCGCTGTCCCCAACCCCACTTGTCCTCGTCCTTGCTGTCCCCAACCCCATGTCTCCCCGTCTTTTGCTGTCCCAAACCCCACACGTCCCCAGCCCCAAGTGTCACTGCTGTCTCCATCCCCCCTATGTCCCCGCATGTCCCCAGATGTTCCCCCACCTACTCAACTTCTTGAAGACTGTGACAGAGACATGCGGCCCGTAGCCTCACACGACCCTGCTGTCCCTATCCCCCCAAGTCCCCTGTGTCCCCTGTGATGTCCCTGCGCACCTGACTCGGTGAGTACGGTGACGGAGACGTAGAGTGAATGTCCCACCAGCTCCTGGGGGTTGGCGAATCGCTGCCGCAGCATGGCCATGGGCAGCACGGCTTCCCCATCCCCGTCGGTCACCTGTGGCATGGAGTTAGTGGGACAGGGGACAGCCATGGGGACCAGGATGGGGACAGGGATAGGAATGGGGAGAGGGGATGGCAGAGCTCAGTATGAGACAGGGATGAGGACAGGGATGAAGATGGGGGAGACAGGGCTCAGCAAGGGACAGAGCTCAAGAGAGAACTGGAATAGGGACAAGGGACGGGGACAGGGACAAGGACAGGGTCACCTGGACGCGCCGCAGGGACTGGGGGATGCCCTTCTTCTCGTCATCCACCATAACGCCAAAGAGGACAAAGGCTGTCCCCTGCAGGCGCTTCCCGTACAGGTACCTGTGGACAAGCCACCACTGTCCCCATCAACCCCTGTCCCCGTGTCCCCATCACATCCACATCACTGTCACCCCATGTCCCCACATCCTCTTGTCATGCAACCCTGTCACCCCGTCGCCCCATGTCCTCATCACCCTGTCCCCGCCACTCCACATGCCTATGTCCCCCTGTCATCCCATCATGCCCTGCCACCTCCATCACCATCACCCTGTGTCCTCCTCACCCCCTGTCCCCATCATCCCATTTCCCCACATCCCCATCACCCTCAAACCTGTCACCTTGCATCCGTGCCACCCCCTCATCCCTGGGGACTTTGCGCAGGAGCAGGGCAGGAATGTCACCCCACACCATTGCCCATGGGGGCTTGACCCCCAAAATGAGCAGTTTTGGGGTCCCCATCCCACCTGGCCGTGATGGACACTCGGAAATCCTCCTTCCGGTCAATGTAGAGGAACTTCTCCTCCGGCTCCAGGACCACCTCAAAGCTTGGCAGCACTGTGGGGCGGACACCCAATGGACCCAGGCATCCAGGACACGCACAAGGGACCCAGGTGTCTGGGGACCCCCACCCCACCTTACCATACTCCTTGACTTCAAATTGGGTGCTGAAGACCTGTTCTGGTGAGTCTTCGAATTTGGCCATTATCGTCCATATCCCCATGCTGGAAAAGGATGGGGACAGGGTGAGGGGACAAGCCTGGGGCTACGGATGTCCCCGGGCCAGCCTGGGAGGTGGCACCCACCTGACAACCTCAGGCAGGTTGTGGTTGAGGGAGAAGATGCCGGTCTTCATTGGCGAGGACACAGGTACTTGCTTGATGATGACATCATCAGGTGTCTGAAGGAACATGGAGTGGTTGGGGATGGTGGCATGGGTGGCTGTGTCCCCATGTCCCTGTGTCCCCAGCGGGCACCCACCTTGATCTCCACGATCACCGTCTTGGGCGCTGGCTCCATGAGGTGGCCCAGAGCAAAGAGGCGGCAGAGCACTGGGAGGGGACACAGGGGACAAGGTGAGCAGGGATAGTGTGGGGACATCCAGAAATGGGTGCTAGACCCCCAAAATGGGTGCTGGGTCCCAGTGGAGATGCCAGGGGGACATCCCCAAATGGGTGCTGGACCCCAGCACCCCAAGGTCACACCAGCACCCCAAAGTGCTCTGAAGGGGACCCAACACCCCAAGGTGCCACCAGCTCCCCAACATGCCATGGTGAGACCCAGCACCCCGAGGACACACCAGTGGAGCCAGGGGTGTAGATGGGCTTGTCGGTCTGCACAAAGATGTGGCCACTCTGGAGTGACACCAGCAGCACCTTCTCCAGGGTCACCTGGGCCACCCGCGCCGTCACGGAGACTGCTAGTCCCAGGTGGGTGCTCGTTCCCAGTGGAGATGCCAGGGGGACATCCCCAAATGGGTGCTGGACCCCAGCACCCCAAGGTCACACCAGCACCCCAAAGTGCTCTGAAGGGGACCCAACACCCCAAGGTGCCACCAGCTCCCCAACATGCCATGGTGAGACCCAGCACCCCGAGGACACACCAGTGGAGCCAGGGGTGTAGATGGGCTTGTCGGTCTGCACAAAGATGTGGCCACTCTGGAGTGACACCAGCAGCACCTTCTCCAGGGTCACCTGGGCCACCCGCGCCGTCACGGAGACAAACTGCTTCCCCACTGTCTGCGGCAGCGCCTTGGCCGACACCTGCGGTGACAGAGGACACCAGGTGGCACCTGCACCACAGGGATGGGGCAGGGGACACCAGATGGCACCCATGCCCAAGGGACGGGGCTGAGGATGCCGGGTGACAGTCCCCAAGGACTCCAGGGTGACCATCATCAAAGACACAGGGGTGACCATCCTCTAATCATAGGGTGACCATCTCCAAGGACCCCGGGGTGACTGTCCCCAAAGATCCAGAGGTGACCATCCCCATGAACACAGGGGTGACCATCCTCTAATCACAGGGTGACCATCTCCAAGGACCCGGGGGTCACTGTCCCCAAGGACCTGGGGTGACTGTCCCCAAGGACCTCAGAGTGACCATCCCCAAAGACCCCGTGGTGACCATCCTCCCCCAGGTCCCACCAGTCCCATGGAGATTCTCCACCATCTCGTATAGGGTTGCGCCACATGGGCCACTGTCCCCGGGGCAGGAGGGGGCAGTGACCGGCAGGAAGGTGACACGGGGATGGTGACATACCTTGATGGTGGTGCTGGCCAACATGCCCTCAGCGGGGCTCAGCGGCACGCGGATCTGGTAGAGCACGTGGCGCTTGCGGGGAAAGTCCTGCACCAGGACAGTGGCCTCGGTGGGGGCGGTCAACCCCGGCGCCTCCAGGACCACCCGCTCCTCCGTCTCCAGCCGCAGTACTGCCGGTGTCACCATCGTCACCCTGGGGACACCAGCCATCATGGGGGGCTGTCACAGGGTCTCCCAGAGCACCCTGGGGGCCTCACAGCACCCAGAACCCCCCCCCCAAGTCTGTCCCCACAGCACCCTAGGGGCCCCCTGATCTGTCCCGCCCAGCACTTTGTGGACCCCATGGCACGCAGCACCCTGGG